GGAGAAAAGAGAAAGTGTCTATACTGTTGGTGAGAGTGCAAGCTAGTTCAACATCTATGGAAAGCAGTGTGGCGGTTCCTAAAAGAACTAAAAATTGACCTTCCATCCGATCCAGTAATCCCTCTCCTGGAAATATACCCAGAGCAACAGAAATTATTCTATCAAAAAGATACCTGCGTCTATAATAACTACACTATTCACACTAGCAGAAACAAGAAACTAACCCTACTGCCCATCGAAAGTGGACTGGATAAAGAAAATGTGGTACATATACATGTATTATGCAACCATAAAGAAGAATAAAACATGGACTTTGCAGCAAATTGGATGGAGTTGTAGACCACCATACTTAGTGATTTTTCACAGAAACAAACTGAATACCTCATGTTTTCACTCATAAGTAGGACCTGAACATTAATCACATTAGCACAAGGGAGGGATTGGCATCGCTAGGCACTGTTAAGGGAGAGTCGGGGGATGGGGGAGCATGTAACAGCACAAAGGGTACCTGGTCCCAAACCAGGGAAAGTGAGGGCCAGTTGGAGGCCCAAACTTCACCTGCATGCAACCTACTTGTGTAGTTAATTTTTACTTGTACCCTACATCTCTACAATAAAATAAAATTTAAAAAGACAAAGGAAGAAGACCAGCTGGCCGTCTACAAGCCAAGGACAGAGGATAAAACCAACTCTATCAATATCTTGATCTCAGACTTGTAGCCTCCAGAACTGTGAGAAAATAATTTCTGTTGTTAAGCCAAAATTTTTTTTTATTGTAAAAATTTAAAAATTAAAAAAAATAAATGTTAGGTTTGAGGGGTTATTAAGAAGTTCAAGGGGTGAAGTTATTGAATAGGCTGTTAGAAATATGGGTGTGGAATTCAAAAAGAGGTCCTGGCTGTGAAAGAAATGGGAGTGAGTAACATATAAATGCTAGGTGTAACCACGAGATGGATGAGAACACACAGCAGCAAGTGAGACACAAAGGCAAGAGGGGCAAAAACAATCCCCCAGGAAATTACATTTCTTTCTCTTGCCCTTTTTTTTCTGCTTTGACTTTCCTATTTCTTCATATCAGAATGAACATATATGAAATTAGTATTACCACCTCTAAAGTCACAAAGTCTGCCTCTTTTGATAGAAGTTCTATTTGTCCATCTTTTCCAACATGCATTAGAAAAAATACTTTTTTTTTTTTTTTTTACCTATAGGAGAGAAAACCCCTGACAGAGCACTTTCCTCAAGGCTAGATTTGGGGGAGATAAAGAGCAACAGTTTACTACAGACAAGAAACTGGCTTGATTCCCTTTCATAAATGGATCAAAACAAGAGCCTTAGGTGTTTAGCATTTCTGTAAAAGGTTTCTGATTATCTAGAGGGGAAAGCAGGCCTCTTCATTTCACTGTTACTAGGTGCCCTCGGGCCCTTGTACACCTCACACTGAGTATCCTAGGTTGGGAGAAAAAACATTGTTTACAAAAATAGGTAAAAGATACCGGACCAGAATACAACAAAAATTATATAAAAACGTGAACAATCAAGACAAAACTGGGAACACAGCTATTTTTTTTTAACAGAGCAGTTACAAAACGTCATAGAACTCCCTTACTCCTTATCTTTGATCCAAAACTATTCCTCCAAAGGAAAGCACCTAGTGAGAAGTTGTATTCTTTTATCTATCATGTAGCTTCCCTCCACTTTCAATATTTAGGAGTTACAAAGTACATTGGTCAATAAATGATTTTCACATGATACCGTACTGAACACAGAAATTCTTATAAACACAAACTAAAATCCTCTATAAGACAGAACACTTTTTAGTCTGAATTTTTAAGAGTGAAGTATCTGGGTATTTGTAAAAGCCAAACTTCAGAATGGCAGCTTTTCCCTAAAACTAGCTTAGACGGATTCATATGAATAGTTTTGGGCCTAACTTTATGATCAGTTCAACCTGCACACTTAACCTGAAGCTTTACCCTAAGTTAAAGAAAATTTATGATGTAAATGGCAGTCTGTCATCTCTATTTAGCCTTTTTTTTATCACTCTGGTTTTCTGTTTTCCATTACTTTTGATGATAGCTAAATACTTTTGCAGTACAGCAGCTAAGGAAAGTAGAAGAAACTTTAGTTATTTGATACTTAGGCTTCTACAATAGAAGAAAGAGTGTTTAAGCAATTAACTAAAGCAAGTTTTGAGATTATCTAGCATTGAATATTTTAATACAATTCTCTTCACCACTTTCTTTTGACAACTAACTGAGCTGAAATTGTCGCATTCAAATTGGGAGTTCATCTGCAGTAGGAAAATGTACAAATACATATTATCCCATAATCTCGACATAATCTTAAATTGATGTAAGAATATGAAATGACTGAGTTCTTAATACCTTCAAGATTTTAAAATGCAAACTATTATTGAATCTCTCCATGTTATTCTTAAATTCTGTCCCAACTAGAATGATATTCCAAGTAACTGTAAACATACCATGGAGTAAAAGTAAAGCAATTAAAAGACTCAATGTATCCTTCATATATTTAGGTTTAATAGTAAACTGTTGACAACTTCACAGACTCCAGAGCTGAAACCCTAGCCTCTGCCTCAGATTTGTTATATTTTATTTTTAGATATAATCACTTCCCTCCGGTAAATGGTTAGTGACCACACGTACAGGTCTGCACATGAGGAAACTAAAAAGGGAACCTTGTGCTGTGAATCAGGCACACAAGACACAGGGAGTGTCCCGGCCAGGCCGTGCCCAGCGGGTCATATTCTCCAGTAATCCCCTGACGGTGCTGTGCTGACACTCTCAATTAATGCAAGTGACACTCGAAGGTAAGCACTCTCCACGGCACATTCAGTACGTGCCGCTCCACCAGCACCTTCCACCAAATGGCCTGGTAAAAGTCAACTCAATTTTCTTCATTATTAATTTCCTTTAGTGCTTTGTGTTATGTGGATCTTGTTAGAGCTCAGGTTAATTCTGAGTTCACGCTGCTAGGAAAATCATTCCGACAGATTAATTCAGCAAGGTAAACTGGATCAGATTATATGCAGTTTGATAGTCCTGTGTGCAATATAGCCTTAAAGCAATGAGATACCAAAGCTACAAAAGCAAAACATCCAGGGGAATCCCAAGATGGGGAAGTTTTAGTGACACAAGTTGATCCGCTCTGCAACGCCATGTTCAGAGTTAACAGTGTGGCATTACTCACTTAGACATTTGTTAAGAGGGCAAAGCTCATGTTAAGTGTTTTCACCACAATTTTTAAAAAGTTACTAATGGCAGAAAATAAAATTAAAATAGCAAAAGATAAAATAGAAAAAATCTGGCGGCATAAAATGCAAGATAACCAGGTGAGAAGACACAGAAAAACAACATCAGTTATTATCCCAAAGGGGAGTGTTTCTCCATGCGTTCTCCCTCAGATATCCTGCATGAGATTCACCTAGAAGCTTGTTAAAGGTATAAGTTATGGAATCCCACCCCAGTCTGACCTGAAAAATGTGGCTCTGTGAGAGTGGGACCCAAGAATACAGAATCTTGGATGATTCCTGTTCTTGCTAATTTGTTACTCACTAGCGTGCCTAAAAACTGTGCCTACTCAACCAAAATTTTGATCTCCTTTCTAATTAAAAAGTTCTGTACTTTCTGACTAAATTGTAAAGCACATTGCCTATTATTTTTCTTAAGAAGAAGAGACAAAGAAATTCAGGAAAGTAGCAGCATTATCGGAATAAATTCCCTGCCCTATGAATTTCTCTCTGTTTCTTTTTTTAACATTGCTATAGTTGCCATGAGTCACTGCTGATTTATTTCTCAGTGAAAAAAGAAAATTGCATGACAGTCACAGGATGTCTTTTATATAATAATAGAATATTCAAACTTTCATGTGAATTGTTTTAGAAAATGCACCTCCTGCCAACTTAGTAAAAAAAACCCTGAAAGAATAAGATTTGTTATATCTTTATAAACGATTGTTTTCATTTTGTGTGTGCCTCAACTTCAAAAGTTTCTAGGGTGAATGTATACATGTTTAGAAAAATCATTAAAGCAATATTCAAGATTACAAGCACAATAAGACTCAAAGTCTCAGAATAAATCATCATATGTGGTCATCATCAGAATACATTATATGTGATCATTTGCATAGAAGAGAGGAAGTGTCTCTTTCCCTAGGAAATGGCTTCTCCAATGTATCTAATTCAACTTTGTGATATGAATTACATCTAGCTAAGTAGCTTATCCATACTCAATGTCCAAGAAAAGTCATCTAAATTAACCACATAATTTTAAAAGCAAAGATGGAAGTAAATATTTCAAATTGCCTTTATGCCCTTTGGAAATACTTATGAGAAGACTGAGACATTTAACAACTGCAAATAAATATTGTATATTTAATTCAAAAGGTGTTCTAAAGATATGTCAATCTTTTGTTTGTCTCATCTGAGATACATCAAAACTGTCATATAGATAAACTACATTTTTTATATTTCCTATTCTGTTTTTCACTTTTCACTAATTAAGATTAGATGCATCCTCATTAATCCTAATTAGTGATTAATTTCCATACTTAGAACTTGAATAGCAATTCTTAAAAGGAAAGGGAGAGATATATAATGTCATATATATACATACACACACACACACACACACACACACACACACACACACACACACAGAAACATGTGCATATATTTATATTTATAAATATCAAGGGGGACTAGTTAATAGCTAATATAATAGGCATATGAAACAATGAGGTAACTTAATATGCATACAAAAATGTATATAATATGATATAATATACTAATATAATATGCATATAAAATGAGGTAATTTTAGAAATTCTCAATGAACATCATGTTAAGACCAATAAGCTATAATTTATTCTATACTAGAGATGTATACTATGGCCTCTTCAATCTTAACAAAATTTGTTTTAATGATTTAAAGACTATGAACAACACTTGATAGTTAGGAAAAGAAGTGGTTTGAGTACCTGGCTTATCCCTGACGGTCACCGAAGTGGAAGCAGGAAGCAGGAGCATTGCCACCCAAAGCCAAAGTTTCCAAAAGCCTGCATGCCTCATTGTGCCTTGAAACCATGCAAACAGGTAGCCACAGATCTGCAACAGAAAACACATATTCAAACCGAGTTTATTGTAAGCAGTTTCCATCATCATCACCAGAAAACGCTCTGCACAAAAGAGAAAACTCTATATTTTACATGCTCTATAATTATGTAATAGGATATATGATTATATAATATGTATGTGTGATTATATATAATATATCAATATAATAAAAAACTCTGAAAATATTTTCAGATTCATTTCTAGTTAATTATCAATGTCAATACAGTCTTCTACAGCTTACAATTTGTCTTCTTTTAAATGCTTTTTAAAGCCACAACACTTACAATGATTTATATTTTTTACTTTTAAAAATCGTGGTAAAATATGCATAATACACAAATTACATTCTTAACCATTTTCAAGTGTACGGCTTAGTCATCAGAATTAATTCACATTGTTGTGCAGCCGCCACACCATTTATCTGCAAAGTCCTTTTTTGTCTTACAAAATGGAAACTCTGTGCCCATTACAAAAAAATTCCCCATTCTCCTCTCCCCCAACCCTGATAGCCATCATCCTCTATAAATTTGATTACTCTGAGTACTTCATATAAGTGGGATCACTCAGTGTTTGTCTTTGTGTGACTTTATTTCACTTCACATATGTCCTCAAGTTTCATCCTTGTTGTAGTACGTGTCAGAATTTTGCTCTTTTTAAAGGCTGAATGATATTTTATTGTGTGCATATATCCATTTACCTATCAATGTACATTTGGGTTGCTTCCATCTTTGGCTATTGTGAAATACTACTATGAACAAGGATGTACAAATAACTGTTTCAGTCCCAGCTTTCAATTTTTTGTATATGTACCCAGAACCAAAATGGGATTTCTGGATCATATGATAATTCCATTTTTTTTTTTTTGAAAAATCACTATACTGTTTTTCACAGCAGCTGAACCATTTTCATTCCCACCAACAATGCACAAGGACTCCAATTTCTCCTTACCCTAAATGATAATTGTTACTTTCTGGGTTTTTCTTATAGTTGCCAGTCTCATGGCAACTCATGGATATTAGATGGTATCTCACTATGGTTTGGATTTGTACCTCCCTGGATATTAGTGAGCCATCATTACTGTCCATTTGTATATCTTCTCTGAAGAAATGTTTATTCAAATCCTTTGCACATTTTGTAATCTGGTTGGTTGTTTTGTTGTTGTTGAATTGTAGGCATCTTTTATACGTTCGGGATATTAATCCCTTAATCAGACTTACAATTTACAAATATTTTCTCTCATTCTGTGGGGTAGCTTTTTACTGTGCTGCTTGTATCCTTTGATGCAAATTTTTTTTTCATTTTTAAGTAGTCCATTTGAACTATTTTTGTTGCCTATTTTGTACAATGATACATAATTTTAAAATATGATTTTATTATTCACAATTTTGTTTTCTCTTCTGAACGCTAGTTTTAGATATTTTGACATGCTATTATGACTTGTATAAACTTATGTTTTTAATGAATTTAGTAATCAGTGCTACTAGAGTGTTAATTACAAATCTGAAAAATAATCTTTCTTTCCATTTAGAGAAAAAATGGATATGTGCGATGCTTACCTCACCTGAGCCTGCCATGGAATCATATGAAATATTACTGTATTTCTGTAAGCACCTTCTTGGTACTGCCATTCTGGGAGATTACCTCTCATAATTTATTGTCTTTCTGAATGCACACTTCTACTCTATAGGTATTAAAATAAAATATTTAGTAAATGAAATCCCTGTAATGGCACTTAAACATATTTAAATTAATTTTTGGAGTGGAGTAACTAAGATGGAAATAAATTGCAAGTAAAAATATAATGTTTCCATATGAATTTAAGTATTGTCTTTTCTAGGTCTGTGAAAAATGCTGCTGGTAGTTTGATAGACATTGTGTTGAATCTGTAGATTGCTTTGGATGGAATAGACATCTCGACAATATTGATTCTTCCAATCCATGAGACTGGGATGTTTTCTCATTTGTCTGTGTTGTCTTTGGTTTATTTGAGCAGTGCTTTACAGTTCTCATTGTAAAGACCTTTCACCTCTTTGGTTAGATGAATATGGAGGTTTTTTCTTGTGACTATTGTGAATGGAATTGCATTTTTTAATTCTGTTCTTAGCCTGCTTGTTGTTGGTGTGTTGAATTTAACTGATTTTTGTGCACTGATTTTGTATCCTGAGACTTTATCAAAATTATTTATCAGTGTAAGCAGGTTTTTGGCAAACTCTCTAGGATTTTCTAGGTATAGAATCATATTTACAAAGAGGAATAATTTAACTTCCCCTTTTCCTATTTGATTATCTCTAATTTATTTTGCCTCCTGATTGTTCTGGTTAGGACTTCCAATACTATGCTAAATAAGAATGATGAGCATGGACATCTTTGTCTAGTTCCAGTTCTTAGGGAGAATGCTTCTAGCTTCTGCCCAATAAGTATGATGTTGGCTGAAGGTTTGTCATAGATGGCTCTTATTATTTTGAGGAATGCTCCTTTGATGCCTGGGTGTTTGAGGGTTTTATCAAGAAGGGGTATTGGATTTTATCAAATGCTTTTTCTGTATCTACTGAGATAATCATGTGGTTCTTGGTCACATCTGTTTATGTTGAACCAGCTTTGCATCCCAGGAATGAACACTTGGTCATGATGAATAATCCTTATAATGGGCTGTTGGATGTGATTTGTTAGTATCTTACTGAGAATTTTTCATCTGTGTTCATCAGGAAAATTAACTTGAAGTTTTCTTTCCCTGTTGGGTCTTTGCCATTTTTGAGTATCAGGATGATAATAGTTTCATAGAATAAGCTAGGAAGGGTTCCTTCCTTCTCGATTTCTTGGAATAGTTTTAGTAGAATTAGTATTAGCTCTTCCTTGTATGTCTGGTAGAATTCACCTGAGAAACCATCTAGCCCAGGATTTTTTGTGGTGGAGAAGTTTTTATTACCGAATCAATGTCTTGGATTGTTGTTGGTCTGTTTAGGGTTTCAATTTCTTCCTGTTTCAATCTTGGGAGGTTGTTTGTTGCCAAGAATTTCTCCATTTCCTCTGTATTTTCCAGATTACAAAAAAGAGCCTAAATGGTTAAAGTAATCCCCAGGAAAAAGAATAAAGCTGGTAATATCACACTCTCAGACTTCAAACTTTACTACAAGGCTACAGTAACCAAAACAGCATGGCTGTGGCACAAAAATAGAACATAGACCGATGGAGCAAGATAGAGAACCCAGAAATAAAACCACTGACCTTAAACCAACTCATCTTTTATAGACAAAAACAAATACTGGGGAAAGGAAACTCTATTTAGCAAATGGTGCTGGGAAAACTGGCCAGCCACATGCAGAAGAATAAAACTGGGCCCATACCTATCACTGCTTACAAAAATTAACTCAAAATAGATCAAGGACTTAAATCTTGGAAAGATGGAAAGCTCAATCTATAAGAATCTTAGAGGAAAACCTAAGGGACATCTCCTGGACATAGGCCTAGGAAATGAATGTATAGCCAAGTCCTTAAAAGCAAATGCAGCAAAAACTAAAATTGACAGATGGGACTTTATCAAGCTAAAAAGTTTTTGCACAGCAAAATAAACCATCAAGAGAGTAAAGAGACAACACACAGAATGGGAAAAAAATATTTTGCAAGCTCTGCATCAACAAATGCCTAACATCCAGGATCCACAAGGAACTCAAATGAATTTACAAGAAAAACAAAAAGAGAACCCCATTAAAAAGTGGACAAAAAACTTGAAGAGACACTTCTCAAAGAAAGACACACAAGCTGTCAACAAAACATATGAAAAAATGCTCGGCGTCACTAATAATTAGATAAATACAAATAAAAACTACAATAAGATGCTATCTCACACCAGTTAGGATTATCATTAAAAAGTAGGGAGGAAAAAGATATTGGAGAGGCTGCAAAGAAAAGGGAATGCTTGTACATTGTTGTTAGGAATGCAAGTGAGTTCAGCTTTTGTGGAAAACTGTTTGGAGATTTTTCTCAAATAACTAAAAATAGAGCTAACATTCAACCCAGCAATTCCACTCCTGGAAATACACCCAAAGGAACACAATCACTCTACCAAAAAGACACCTGCACATATATGTTTACCGCAGCACTATTAAGAATAGCAGAAACATGGAACCAACCCAGATGCTCATCAAAGGTGGACTGGATAAAGAATATGTGGTACATATGCATGATGGAATACTACGCAGCCATAAATAACAAAATCAGGTCCTTTGCAATAACATAAATGCAGCTGAAGACCATTATTTTAAGTGAATCATCACAGAAACAAAAAACTGATAACTGCATGTTCTTACTCATAAGTGGGCACTAAACACTGGATGCACATGAGTACAAGGATGGGAGCAACAGATGCTGGGAACTGCAAAAGGAGGGAGGAGGGAGGATAGGGATACAAAACCAACCATTGGGCACTATGCCCACTATGAGAAGGAGCACCAGAAGCCCAAATCTTGTCTTCACACAATATGTAGCCAATCCTCACATTTATCCCACAATTCTAAAATACACACATATGTATATATGTATATACTCCTTCAGTGTGTTTGATAATTGTAGTATTACTAAAATAGCTACTCTAAAAGTTTTAAACATGCAAATAAATGTCATACCCCTTGTTTGTCATATTCAAAGTTTAATTTCTAGCCAAATATAGCATAATTCATCTTAGCAATGTCTAAATTCTTTTCATAGATACTTCTCAGAAAAAACGAAAGCCACCATCTTCTTTGGTATTCTATGTACGCCAAATACCCTAAGATCAGCACGTTAAAATTAATTCAAGATTTCAGATTTTTCTGGATGAATAGTTAGAAGCAGCTATTGCAATATTAAAATTGTATATGTGGTTCTAAATATCAAACAGCTGGTTTATGCTTGATTTCTTTTGAATTCTCTCATCTCGATATAGTCTCAATCCTCATATGACTTTGCAAACTCATCCTAGCTATTATTTTAAGACAGATGATAACTAT